TTACGTTACATGATCATCATTTACCGAAAAGCGGTTGGCTCATTCTCGAGCAATGTGATTGGTGTGGTGTATCGCTTGCCGTGTCACGTCCGTGTTCATGCGTCACGTCCATGTTCATGCCGTGACTTTTCACAATCATACGAAAACTGCTCTAAAAATATCCGTGACAACTTACCTTTTTTCTCAGGAGACTCATCCTTTCCACCTCTAGACTTGGCACTACGTCGACCAGGCGACCTACTGCTGCGTGCACTCTTCTTCCCTTTTCCTTTCTTATTCTTCTCTTCCTCTTCCGCCTTCAAGGCGTTCACCTCAGACCTCGTCATCAATCCATACCTGCTCCCTTCCTTCAAAGTGGGAGGGGGTTCTTCCACGACTATAGGAGGAGGAGTAGGGGTCCTTGCGGCTTCTATTTTGATTCGCTCTTGCTCGTCAACCCAAGATTGGATAGAAGAGGTGACGTGATCGAGGTAGTTACGGAAGCCAACGTTAGAGTGAAGTTTGGTCTGCCAAGAGGTCTGACTTTTGGCTTGAAGGCCCAAAGGGTTATGGAATGCTACCAGTAAGGAATGGTCTCGCTTGTGGTAGTAGGTGTCTACATATGGCAAGATGTATCGTGTCTCTTCTAGTAACTAAACGATAAAAAGAGCGAACACGTTAGGACTTGAACAAATAAACCTAACACTCAGTGGCGGTAAATGATTATCATAATCAAGTTTTTGATAATGACAGTTGTTGATGCTTGGCATAGAATACGCTCAATACGAAGGCAAGGTGTGCAACGATATCGAATAAGCCTGAAGCGAGATAACGTTTTATCCTCGACTCTACACCATAATAGTTTTTAAAATTCTTTCATATTGAAATTTTTGATTCCTTAGAGATTACAGGAACAATAGTCATAATTAAAGAACAAGAGTGATGTGAAAAGGATTATGGTCTAGAGACGGGGGTAAAACGTCATCTCGCTTCAGCCTTATTAACCCAGTAAATGAGCGTTCATCCCGAGTCTTTCCTGTAGCTCAATGGTTAGAGCATCCGACCGGCATCTCGCTATGGAAGGTCTATTCCTATCAGTTTCCCTTTCAGCTAGTGACAAATGACAAATTATTCTATAGCTTTTTAACCTATTCTCATCGATATCGAATTCGATTTAAAAATTATAGCTAAATAAAGGCGTTTCCAATTAAGTCGAACTGACCAGTCCGAGCGCCCAATCCTCAATTGGTACACGTCAGTTCTATACAACTAGTTGACCGAGTTATAAGAACTATTATTATATAGTTAGGACAGTACGCGCGCGCTGATTGGTCGAAAACTGTGCTTTATTAGTGAATGGAAGTAGATATCAGGGTTCGTGCTACATTTTCGTTACAAAATTAAAGGACTTTTTAAGCACTTTTCAAGCAGAAAAAATAGATTTTCAAGGACAAAGTTTTTTGTATTAGAACGTGGTTTAAACATTGATTCAATGTTACAGTGCAGGACAGTACAGCTAATTCAGCCGGAACCACGTCCACCAATAAAAAAACGATCATGACACGCAACCAACCAGTAAACAAGCGCCCAGAAACTCTTCAATCAATTTTAATCGTTATTTATTTCAAAAGGAAAGTTAGAAATAACATTAAGTTTCCATTAAATTCAAGGAGTATTCCAGGAGTTTTGGCCTTTTCCCCCTATTTTCAAGGGCTTTTCAAGCGCCCTTAAAAACGTGTTTTCAATTCAAGGGCTGTTCAAGGATTTCAAGGAGTAGAACGAACCCTGAGATATGAAATGGGCGTTCTGCATCACGGGCCCCGTCGGGCTACCCCTGGCTCGTAGGGGGAGGGGGTGTTCCACATCATTGAGCTCTGGAACCGCTCCGGAGCAAAAGGGGGCTATTTTTTTACCTCCTGCGGATTCGGCCGGATGACGTCATGATTTATTTTGATCATCGTTCGTCTGTATTTTATATTAACGAAGTAGTTCACTATCGACATGATGAAAAATAATTCCCTCATTATGTTTAATTTGCGTGACAGTTCGATTTGTTATTCCTAATTTATGCTATGTCTTTAGATTGTTGTTGTTGTTTTTTCATTATCTTCTCATCCGCCTGATTGCCAGTTGGATTCGCCTGAATGCAACTGTCGCTGCGATATGCAAATGATGAATAAACGTCTTGCATCATGACAAATTTGATTATATTACATTTATTTCGATCTCGTATTTGTGAGAAATGTTTGACAATAYTTTAGTTATACTCGAAATTTTCTAAGTCGCCCAAAATCGTAAATTATGACCTCGATTCTGCAGTTTGCGGTGGCTCTGGTCGGGTAGAAGATCATGCAGACAATGATTATCATAAGACGTGAATTTGTTCAACTTGCTTTATTGTTCATCATATTATGTGTAACATATTGTCGAGATTCGCTGAATGCAGTAAATATTGACTCAAGTTTCTTTATTTCGACAGTTCAATTTAATAATGTACCGCGAACTCGCTAAATCCTTCCCATCAACCACAGCGTGAAATCGATAAGACAAGAGAAGCGACTGGGTACGAGTCTGATAAATATTATGAATTTCTCTCCCGCACTGGCCACAGGTAGCCCAAGCTTGGTTTCTGTGGTGTCCTGYTATAAGGAAATGTATGGAGATTCTTCAAAAATTTCAATAAAATCATTGAAATGTGAAATAAAGCCTCGAAATTTTACCCGATCATTGAGCAATAGCACTTCTTTTGAACTGCGTGGTTATTTTTTGAATTTAGCCCGTTTTAAGATTTTTT